TATATATATATGTGTATAGATATACATTCAGTTATTCATCTGTATATGTGCATGATATGTATATAGATAGATGGATATATAGATTAGATAGATAGATGGATATCAGCAGCTATGCGTATACTTACATTACATATTCAGCTGAGTTTGCTCCACCCTTTCCTTAGAAGGCATCGGCTCCAGCCTGCCATCCCGGCTCCGGCTTCCAAGTGGCCCAGGTTCGTCTTGGAGCTGGTCTTCAGAATGGGTCGGGCCCGGTCTGACCGCATGACCTCGAATCTCATCGTCTCTAAGATGTAGGGGCCTCAGGAACTAGAATTGGAGTAATTTGGGGTGCGTTAAGTACATGTAGCTATATATAAAGGCTATAGCAAGGGGATACTATCAGTACTTCTTGCGAGCGCCAATGCAACAGCAAAACTGCAAGACTCATCTGTGGCCCCCGACCCCTCGCAAGGCTCCGATCTCAATCGGATCTCCCAGCGCAGTTCCTCGTCATGCACAAGAAAGGTCGGAGCGCGTCGCTGCAAGAAAAATGAGAAAATCTTCGACCTGTTCCGTGGCACTCGGCGATGGTGATACTGTTGGGGGACAAGCCAGCCTCCGAGAGGATCCGAGAGGAAAGGTGAGTTTCCAATACTCGGAGCGCCGCCGAAGCCGCGCCTCCCGCATGGACTGTCGAATGACTTCCTGCTGCGATGGGCCTTAGACGGCAAAGAGAGAGGATTGGCAGCGAGTTGAAGCTCCGATTCTCTCGGCTTCGGGCCGTGCGGCGCCGTCATGGAGGCGCTGCGACCGTCCTGCGCTTGCGGCGAGCTGTCGGTGCGCTCGCGAAAGCTCGCGGGTGTGTGCGGATCCGCAGATCAGATGTCATGCTCTGCTTTGCCTGATTGATGCTGCAGCCGATCAGCATGGCAACTCGGCCGGATGCTTCCACGGAATCCTCACAGACCTCCAAGGTCAAGAGGCTGACTTCATGACAGAATCGCTTTCCGAAAGCCACGGTACTGGTCAGTGCTTTGGGTCCAGTCTATATTTGCAATCTAGAAGATGCGACGTTTTTGCCTTGCGTGGCCGCTGAAACTTCGGAATCCCGAAGCCGAAGCACGAGCATTGAGGCCCAATTCAGCACACTTTTGTGGGGTCGGCCTCGCCATGAGAACACTGTGGCTGGCATCACCATACGCATAACCATCGTCGTCGCCGTCGCCGTCGTCGTCATGCACTCCTTGACCATCAGCTCCTCATCCACCACCATCGCCATCGCCCAACTACAGCAAAAGCTTCGACACACATCAACCCAGTGCCCATCCGTTTTCCGGTCCAGTGCGCATCCATTTAGACTTCCCGGCATGGTTGCAGGGCCGTAGGGTTGGGGATTTAGGGTTTAGGGTCTATTGGGTTAGGGGTCTACATTTTGGGGCTCAGGGTTTGAGGGGCTCAGGATGGCTCAGGGCTCCGGATTTTCCATCAGGCGCAGACTCGACGGGGGCAAAGGCATCCGCTCGACCCTGCCCCCCGCATCAGCAGCAGATGGTTCTGCTCCCAGGGACATCGGGTGCTCGGCTGGCCACGAGTCGCCAAACCGGAGCGGCATCACCACCACCACCATCATCGGCAGTCATCACAGTTTCTGCTGGCATGCAAAGGCAAAGTTGTTTGTTATGGTTACGGGTGGTGACTGCAGCCCGCTCTTCACAACCTACGAACATCATCCGAAATTATTCGGGTGCGGCGCCCGCACGCCATATGCCAGCACCGCTCCACAAAACGAGGGAAGCGGCCATCTGAGGGGGCCGGGGCCTTCAGCTTGATGGAGCCCACGCCCTCTCCCCGAGCGAAGCCATCCGCCGAGTTGTCAAAAGTGAAGCACCTCGGGACTCGGCTACTACGGAAAAAGAGCCCATCTGGGCGCGAACTCGCGGAAGCCCGTTCAAAGGACAAAACCACAAAACCCACTCTTCTTCTTTTTGTTGGGGCTCCCGACCGTCCCTGGTGCGTAAGCATGCCCGGTCCGCTCAGGGAGATGTAGCCACCAGGACCCAGGAGCAAGTTGCTCCCAATCTGCGCGGGGGGCGTTGTGGAGCGGTCTCTCGAGAACAGGTGACGCTGTTACACAGGATGTAAGTGATTTAAGGTGATGTGCGTCCTTGGGTCAAGCAGGGTATGGCTGTGCTGAGTGCTTCGTGGAGGAGGATTTCAGCGGGCGCACCACGAGGCCATGCTTCAGGTCCGTGGTGATGTTGGGCGTCTGCTGATCCTCCAGCTTGGACCTCCCAAAAAGAAATCGGACGAGTGGGATCCAGACGTGACTCACCGGCGCAGGGGAGAACCAGGTGAATAAGACCATGCAGTGTAATCATGGTATCCGAGGCCGACATACTCCTTCTAGCCTACTTAGCCCTACACTTAGCCCTATACTGAGCCCTACTTTGAGCAGAGGCCCCAATTTGAAGACGACGGAGACACCCTCAGGCCCTCTTCGCCTCATCGTCATCTGCGCAATGCCCGTGGCAACCAGGCTGGACGAGCCTTGGGCCGCTCCCACTTTTAAAGCAACTAAAGACAGGAGGGAGCCCCCAAAAAAGCCCTAAGTAAAACCCTAAAAGAACCCTATAAAAAGCCACCTAAATCTCTGCACTGGCTTTGTTTAGGTCTCCCAGCTCGATTTTTCTGCACATCCATGCTTAAGGATCTACAGCTCTTCTTCTGGGGTTTAGGGTTTAGGG